CACTCGACTGCGACAATATAGTTTATCTGTGTTATTCAAGCCATCTCTGGTATTTTCATAATAATTAAGTATATTTATAATTCATTGCTAATCGATGTATTCTTTTTAAAGTAGCATATGGAACATATTTTCTGCCTCATTCTGTGACAAGAAGCCTCATCAGATCACAAAAGGAAGCATTTGACTGGTGTTGTGGAGTAAAAAGGTTATACTTTTTCTCTTTTGTTAGACAACAGGTTTAGAAATGAGAATACAAGGGAGGTTTAGCTTTAGGCATTTTAACTTAAGCATTTTTAGCTTAGTTAACGGAAGGCTACCTGCTGCCATCAGAGCAAGTGCAATTACTGCATTCACGCGCTCCTCGGATGCTCTCATTTCCCGAGTTGTGCTTTTAAGTCGGAATGTGAAAACAACATGGACACTCTCGTTACTACAAAGACGTGTTGGATTTGTATTATTAGAGCTTTCCGACTTCAGTTCACGTGCATTTTCTCAGTCGGGAAATAATTTTTCACGTGCGGTGCCAGTGATGATTCTTCTTACGTCCGTTTCGGAGAACCGGAGAAAATATTTAAATCGATCGCTCAGGCATGGCACCGAAATGAGGCACCGAAATCTGCGTTCTAATTCGGTTCTAGTAGGTACATACCGCTTACATAGGTACCGGTGCCATATTGGTACCGGGTTTCGGTACCCAACCCTACTTGGAAGGCAGGACTTCTTTCATTCTAGCCAGTTTCTTCATTATTCTGCAAATGGTCTGTCTCTGCTACTGACTTTCTAAGATGTAATATAGTCATAATATGTGACCTGTGCTGGCAAAATGAGTCACAACGAGCAATTTTTCAAAAATGAAATATTTTTATATTCACATTTATTTCCTCTAAATTACCTTCAGAATGATGATTTGTTGAAATCGGACAAAAAATTACTGAGCTACACGTGCTTGAAGTCGATAGAGTCAGCAAAGTCAATTTTGAGAAAGATATTTTCTGAAGGTTCAAAAGCACAGAGCAACGTTGCATCTTTTCCTCCATTTATTTTCTAAATAATAATTACTATATTATTAATCATAATATAGATATTTTTTTCTTTTATCTTTGTTATTATAAATAAGAACAGATGCAAAAAACAACAAAAAACAAAACAAACAAACAAACAAACAGTAGAACAAATATAGGAAAAAAAAAAAATTCCTTTTTTCATTTTTGCATCTAAACAAAAGCATTCAAGTAAGAAAAACAAATAATCAAATGTAAAAATCCCTTTAGTGTGCTAATTACAAATAAACTGATTATTAAAACTACAAAAGCAGTTAAATCAAGAGCAGTAATTGATTCCCTCTTTTCTTGTATTGTTAGATTATCATTAATGAGACAAACGGCCTATATAAAACCTACTGTAATGCACGGATCTAATATAATGTTACACATCAGATGTTTTTCCCCAACAGTTCCCCAAACGTTCACTTAAGACATAACAGATTATGTTTGTGTGAATACATAAATACTGTAATTCTGTATATATTTATCAGGATCGTGCTGTCGGAAGTGCCTTTATGCACACGCTTCGGATGACAGTCAGTGTGAGAAGTCAGCAGAGAAAAGGTACTCCTCTCAGAAAACATGCAAATAACGATAATTTTAGATGTTTAATTGCTATCTGGAGCATTGGGATCGCTAGATGAGGGTTTAATAATCCGTGTATCATTCGATCATTCGTTTTTTGATTTAATATTGAAAGTAGAAAAATGAGAAAACGGCTCCTTTTTTGTTTTTTCGTTTTTTTTTTCCAAAAAACAAAAATTCTGCTTAAATTTTCGTTTTTCGTTCATGGGTGGAAAAATGAATAAACAGCTTGAATATTCGATTTCTACACGTGGGCGGGAATTAAACACCCCTTTCTGCTGATTGGTCAACCGAAGATCAAACTGTGCCTTCATCAGTTATTCTGCAGTATCACGCAGCAGAATAATAGTCCTCCACTGCTGCAGTTGTATGGATTCTTAAGCATTTATTGCAACTACATTTCATATTTTTTCATCAAACAAACAGGCTAATGAATAGCTGGACACAACTCATACTGGGGCAGAGTCTAGACAGGGCTTTCTTCTGTGTAGATATAAATTATATTCTTTGCATCAGCTGGGCATGGCAGGGTATGATATGACAGCTGTCATAGCCTACCCTGCTCACCCAGTAAGCCTGTTTGTTTGTATAATTAAGAAATTAATTTATTTATTTGTTTCAAAATAAATATTTTAAACACTAAGACAAAGGAAAGAATAATAAATTTGCTTGGGTATATATAGGCCTATGTTCACGCAAGAACTGTCATTCTGACTGACAACCGGAGAACAACAAATATTAAATAGCCTACTGTTAGAGTTATATAATGTAGTCTTGTGTTTTATTAAAATTGATTATAATTGATATCTCAAAAGGATATGC